TATAAACCTAACAGACCACTCAGATCATTAGGATCGAGTCCAAGGGTTCACACAAAACAAGGGGAGTCCGCTTTTAGTTATTATTCCGCCCGCAGTTGGAATCAGCATCCAGAAGAGATCAGATGTGCTAAAACATTAGTCAGACTTAAATGCCGACTCAAAACTCATCTGTTTAGCTGTGCATATACTGAATGAGCACTGTGCTACGTCAGAACTGATTGCACTATATTTTATGTATAATCATTTTCTATTCTTAACTGTTTTAAATTCATTTTAAACCTCTTAAATCAATTTTTAAATAATTTTCAAAGTTTTAAAATTCCTTGTTTTATTGTTGTGATTATTAAAAAAAAAATTCATTTATTTCATGTAAAGCACTTTGAATTACCATTGTGTATGAAATGTGCAACATAAACAAACTTGCCTTGCCTTGCCTATAATTATGTATGATGCGGGTCGCCCTATCAGTGTGTATCGCCATTTTGAATGGACGTAAACCGCGCGTTTCTCCAGCGTCATAGAGGATCCTCGCGCTCATTGGCTGCCGTCTTTATAGACACCTTATTAGCTGAGTGTACTGACATTAGACAACGGAGCAAACTTGTTATACTGCTTTACCAGCGGACACAACGGGAAAAATCAGTTTCTACCTGTACAGCCGAAGAAGCAGCTTTGAAGACAGAAGAACACAAATGAGAATAAACATTGGAATGGCAATAACAAGATGAAAAGTGGTGATAAGGGATAAGTGGTGATGCCCAAGTTGCTTCTTTTTGTGTTAGACAGGTAAGAGAATTAATTATCATGTAAACCCTCCTCTAAAACTCACGAATATCAGTGTAATTAAACTGAATAAAACTCAGAGACAATCATGCTAGCTAATGTGTAGGTCAACTTCACAACCTCTAGTACTACTTGGTATGACCACAAGATGGCAACGTTTCTCAATTAAGACGCTGTTACGCATAAACCTGGCGTAAATTCACACGTTTTACAAGGCTCATGAATATTGATTAAGGTAAGTCACTGGGCAGGGCAGGACGCTTGCCAAGCAACATCGGTATAATTATATTCTGGTAAATCAGTTGTTTGAAAGCAACTTCTTTAAATGTACTGTATAAGTGTAAAACAGGAACACAACACAAATACACAGGCTGGTTTATTTATATAACAAGATAGAATAAACATTGGAATGGCAATAACAAGATGAAAAGTGGTGATAAGGGATAAGTGGTGATGCCCAAGTTGCTTCTTTTTGTGTTAGACAGGTAAGAGAATTAATTATCATGTAAACCCTCCTCTAAAACTCACGAATATCAGTGTAATTAAACTGAATAAAACTCAGAGACAATCATGCTAGCTAATGTGTAGGTCAACTTCACAACCTCTAGTACTACTTGGTATGACCACAAGATGGCAACGTTTCTCAATTAAGACGCTGTTACGCATAAACCTGGCGTAAATTCACACGTTTTAAAAGGCTCATGAATATTGATTAAGGTAAGTCACTGGGCAGGGCAGGACGCTTGCCAAGCAACATCGGTATAATTATATTCTGGTAAATCAGTTGTTTGAAAGCAACTTCTTTAATTGTACTGTATAAGTGTAAAACAGGAACACAACACAAATACACAGGCTGGTTTATTTATATAACAAGGCTGGCATAAAACTGGATTTTATGAAATGTCATGCTCTTCCTCAAAGCACGTGCAGTCATTCAACACCCTGAGAGCTTCATTCAAATGTGCATATCTCTCAACAAGAGAGCTTTGTATAAAGAAAACACCTATTTTCAACAGTGCATCCGTATTTCTTAGAACTGAATATCCCCACTAAAATATATAATATTAATATATAATATTGCTCTAATGTTTTACTGTGAATACAAACGGGGTATTTCAGCATTAAACTCCTGAGACGTACCAATTAAAGGGGTCATATGATGCGA